GGTGTCCTGTAAGAGTGCTCCTCAAGATTTTCCTACAAGAGTGACCCGCAAGAGTGTCCTACAAGAGTGTCCCACAAGAGTGTCCTGCAAGAGTGTCCCTGAAGAGTGCCCTACAAGAGTGTCCTACAAGAGTGTCCCAGAAGAGTGTCCTGTAAGAGTGACCCACAAGAGTGTCCTACAAGAGTGTCTCACAAGAGTGTCCCACAAGAGTGTCTTGTAAGAGTGACCCACAAAAGTGTCCTACAAGAGTGTCTCACAAGAGTGTCCCACAAGAGTGTCCTACAAGAGTGTCCCACAAGAGTGTCCCACAAGAGTATCCCGCAAGAGTTTCCTACAAGGGTGTCCCACAAGGAGTGTCCTACAAGAGTGCCGTGTAAGAGTGACCCACAAGAGTGTCCTACAAGAGTGTCTAGCAAGAGTGTCGTGTAAGAGTGACCCACAAGAGTGTCCTACAAGAGTGTCTCACAAGAGAGTGTCCCATAAGAGTGTCTTACAAGAGTGTCCCACAAGAGTGTCCCACAAGATATCCCACAAGAGTTTCCTACAAGAGTGTCCCGCAACCGTGTCCCACAAGAGTGTCTCACAAGAGTGTCCTACAAGAGTTCTCAAACGTGTTTGCATTCGGGTTCGTGGGCTCCATCTTGTTCCCGAATGCGTAGCGAAGGGTTCTGGTTTAACTTTGGGGGTCTGGGGGTAGAGCCTTGTTCGCGACCCATTGTTTCCACGTCCGCAACCGTCCTCAACCGTCCGCAACCGTCCGCAAGTGACCGCAGTAGGGCGCTAAGGCGCTGCCATTGGGGGAAGCTTTTGCAAGTGACTTTGCATGGATGTGTCACGTGTCAGTTTGCGCCGCTATTCCATTGTGATTTGCATGACAATGGCATGTCGCGCAGCAACCGTGATGCACTTGGCTGCACAGGCGCAGCGTTTTGTGAGATCCGCAGATTGCTGCGCAGTTCCATTCGGATTAGCGTTTGGAGAGTCGTGTTTTAGGGGTGTTGGATGTGGCCGTGCCATTGGGATTTGCGTTTCAGGGTGTGGCATCGAAGCTTGATTTTTGTGACAAGTCTCAGCTGAAATGGCGATTTTGGTGGATGGGGAGTGTGCTCGGCACGGGTCGAAATCATTCCAAACGTGTGGTGTGGTGCAAATCACGAAAGGTAGCCTGGTAAGGACTACCTTGAGTTTGCTTTGCGAAGCAAAGGGACTGGCTTGAGAGCTTGCTCGGGACTAAAGATTGGTAGATCAATGTCTAACACCCCCACCCCCCCCTCCCCCCCCCCTGAAATGTAGAGGCCTACTTGTACAGGTTCCACTCCAGTGGCCTATCTAGTGTGTCCATACTTGACTGCCATAAGGCTCAAGAGGATAAGACTCTGCGCATAAAAGACACTAGCGGTCTGCACCTCAACCGTGTACGCCCTAGTCACTCTTTCAGTGGTAGCGGAGCAGTGATCCTGGAAGACCCAGGTGAGCTCCTTTCCTAGGCATAGACTTGCTTGTAGGCAACCGGCCATGGATTGGATTGACGACTGGGAAGAGCCTGATGCGGATGTGTCTTATGAGCCAACAGCCTATGTGAATAGGCATGTGAGAAGAGAACCAGCAGCTATAGCAATGACAACACAGGTCACTACAAAGGTGCCCCCATCTTATGATGGAAAGACTTCATGGTTTTCCTATGAGGATGCCATAGACGATTGGTGTGATATCACCGAGCTGGAGGATGAGAAGAGAGGACCAGCATTGAGAAACAGATTAGAAGGAGAAGTAGCCGTATACAAACGTGTATTAGACAGAGATGCATTGAAAGCGAATGATCCACCAGGAGCTGGAGTAGAATACTTCAAACGAGTACTACGACCATATTTTGTGAAAGGATCCACCAATGTATTCCTGTATAGGTTTATGCAATTCGTACGCTTCAATCGCGGATCAGCCGACATGATGAAGTGGATGACAAGATTTCAGATTTTACTCCAAAGGCTTATGAGCAGTTGAGTTGGATGGACATGTTGGATCCAGTAACACAAGTACATCCTCAGGTACAAGCTCAGATGCAAGCTGATGCAGCGATGACTGGAGTAGCTCCAACAGCAGAAAGAATTCAGGAAATCATGCAGAATGTCAATGGCAATCTGAGAATTCTTCATCAGAACGATTTTCCTTTAGGAGAGAATCTCATTGCCTTCCTCATGCTGTCATTTGCGGATTTGTCTCAGGACAAGAGGAACACTTTGACCTCTTTGATGACACATCGTGGTAGAGTCCTGCAGCAATACACCACAACAGAGTTGAGGACAGTTTTCATTGAGATGTTCTGCACAACAAAGACGTCAGTAGACAATCCTCTGATGCAGCCAACAGGTGCTGGAGGTAGAAGATCATTTCTCGTACTAGACGAAGGAGAACTCGATGGTACATATGGCTATTGGGCCGAAGATGAAGAAGATGGAACAGAAGGATTCCTTGATGCCCTGGACGATGTCTTTTGGGTATATGATGAACAGAATTTTTTGTTGGTTCCAGAGGAGATTCCAAGGAAGAAGAGCCAGAAAAGGCAAGGGAAAAGGTAGAAGAAAAGGAAAAGGAAAAGGAAGATCAGGCCGCAGATTTTTCAGACCTCGTGGAAAAGGAAAAGGAAAGAGACGAGGCAAAGGCCATTATGCTGATGAGCAATCGACAACTTATCCAGATGAGTATTTTGAAGAGAATCCTTATGAGGACACTTGGGAGTCAAATCAAGTAGCATATGATGCTATTCTTGCCGAAGATATGAATGACTATCTTCAAGGAGAACATGAAGATGCCCATGACTTTTGGCAACAACTTGAAGAAGCATGGTTT